GCTATATCTTCATTTAATGATAAAAACCATAGTTTTTGGCTTTTATTTGCGTATAGACACTTGATACATTAAGAACGACTGAAATAATAATAATTTGAGTAATAATTAATATGTATTTGTTACTTTATAGATTTAACAGATATTTGTTGTTACTTTATTAACGTTTTTACACTTATACTTATGCTGCTATGATTTTGTCTGGTTTATGAGCTCGTTGTTGTCCTAATTTAGGATCTTCTTTTTAATAAATTCTTGAAAATGTTAAAAAACAGAGAGAGAGAGAAAGGAGGCCCGGCGAGGATGTTTGCCCCGGGGCCCGTGCTGGCTCTCGACGTTCCTGTTTCTGTCTATCTATTTATCTATCTATCTATCTGTTTGTCAGCGTGTTCGGAAATATTTCTATAAAAACAACAATTATTATGTTACACTGTAATACTAATTGAAAAAAAAAACATGTTTGAGTATTCACAGTAATTTTAACATAGGCTACGTCACGTGCCACAAATATCCGGCGTATATTAAATCGTGTTAGTTGTATTTTATTGTAATTTCCGAAACAGGGCATGTAACGCCAAACAGTTAATATACGTAGGCACATCTATTAAAAATCACCAGTAGCGTGTAGAGTACATTAAACAAGCTGGAGCTCATGATAAAAAAAAGAAAAATCCCGTAATCTCCCCCCATATGCCCATAGTCTCCCCTCACACTCCTCAAAAAGAAAAATCCCGAAATCTCCCCCATAAAAAAAATTGTGGGTTGCCTCTCATTCACTTAGATAATCAAACATACTATCTTTTATTGGTCTTAATAAACACCGACTTTGAAATTAAGCAGTGAATTATTTCGTATTAGCACTTAATAACGTATCACAATTATTTTGCCCCACTCACCCCCCTCCCAGTGGCACAACGGTAAGTCTGCAGACTTATAACGTTAAAACCGGGTTTTGATCCCGTAGTTGGCACAGCATAGATAGTTCATTGTGTAGCATTGTGCTAACTAAAAACAAGTAAACAAACAAGCACAATCGTTTTTTACTGTAAACAACCTACAAGTTCCTATGTACCCTTCCGGCGTTTTACAGCCGAGATATATGTGTGTATAGGGGAATCAAACCTCTGATTTTAGCATAATAAATCCGAAGACTTACCATCGGGTGCTTTAAAGGGAAGAAATCGTCTATTAACGTGAAAGGGGTCAAGTTTACCGCTAGGGGTCTAACAAAATGGACCTACCCACTTCATAAGGTAGACGTCAAGTTTACCGCTAGGGGTCCAACAAGATGGACCTACCCACTTCATAAGGTAGCCGTCAAGTTTACCGCTAGGGGTCTAAAAAGATGGACCTACCCACTTCATAAGGTAGCCATTAAGTTTACCGCTAGGGGTCCAACAAGATGGACCTACCCATTTCATAAGGTAGACGTCAAGTTTACCGCTAGGGGTCTAACAAGATGGACCTACCCACTTCATAAGGTCGACGTGATTTGATTATAAGAGAAAGTATTCATCCATTTTGTAATCCTAGAATGCCAGCATTAAATTTTTAGTCATTAACACCAGGTGGTATGGGGGTCATAGTGAATCCACGCAGGTGTTCTAGGGTTAACAGTACTACCTTTCTGACCTAGTCCTCAATCATTTGAATATAGTTATCACCTTATTTCTAACGAATCTATAAAATATCGATGAATAATAACAGACACTAGAAATGAAAACCTAGTCAGTAAAAAAAATCAAAATTAAGTAACATAAAATCGGTAGTGTGGTTTTAGTTAACGGATGTTTTAAAACTTTACGATAATATTAACTTGCATCGACTCATTTCTCTTACAGTCACATGATCAGAAAGAAATACACCGTAACAGTTAAACGATGAAACTGGGATCGACTTGAACCTCGGAGAACCTCCTATTGTAAAGTAACAAATAAGAAAAGAATACAAGAGTTAAAGGCAGTTTACGTCATCGGCTGGTTATTAATGCTCATATTATAATTTCAGTGTTAACAACCTCTAGAAAACAGTAGTCCTAGTGATTATAATATATAATAAGTTTTACAGCCTCGAGAAGAATGTACTCTTAGCGTGTTAAAAGTGGCTAGACTTTTATTAAATATTTGTTTAAATGGTCATCTTGACAAAATGAAAATATACTCAAAACTTATTCGTACACAGTCAAGGACTGAACGTCAAATTTTTCGAAGTGACATACAATGTTTGTGTGTGTGTTTTTTATACCAAAGCCACATCGGGCTATCTGCTGTGTCCACCGAGGGGAATTGAACTCCTGATTTTAGCGTCTTAAATCCGTAGGCTTACCGCTGTCAAACAGAGAGAACAGGTTAATTAACGTTTCTCGTATCTGTCACAGTTTCTCCGTGACTAAGAAAAAAGGGCAGTAGAAACGATGTCACATCCCACACCACACTAAGAATAGTTGACAAACTAGAATAAAGTGGCAAAAATACACGTCACCTAAGTCGGGTAAGCTTTCCACACCTTAGTGTAGGGGGCTTAACGGAAAATGGGACGGAGCAGGTTAGGCCTCCAGTTGTGGAGGTCAACTCTGTTATGTAAACCACACCCATATGTAGGCTGAAGAGCCGTTTTTACTTTTGCTCCTTCCTGGAATTATTTTTTTCCCCTCGGAAAATTGAGTCAATTTTCATATATAATTAGATGTTAAAATAGTTTAACTGGCGTATGAATTCTAAAACGTCTATCCATGTCATGTGCATGTTATCTAAACGAGTTCAGTTTTTAACTTAACGAATTCAGTGACCTTGAGGGCTGTTCAATGCCAGTCTCGTCCCTAGCAGACCTGCAAAAAAAAACGTGATGGGAATAGCTAAATCAATTTTTAGAGGATTACTGATAAGACTTTGATTGGAGTAGCGGTGTTTTCTCACATTCATTTCTTATCACAATCTAACAACACCTGAGAAAATTTTTAGTAGTACGACAAAAGCTCATCCAAGAATGACAAGTTTGGATTCTAAATGCAATTTATAGAGTGTATGTTTGTCGTACGTCTTATTTGCGTTCCGTGTAATTTTTCTCACCTTTCTTACGGATGATTACCTATGAAAAATTCTAAATATCACTAACATCTGTAAGTTAATGTTATAAAAAAGATGGGATAAATAACAGGAAACTAGCTAATAAGGAGATCATAATAAATCTGGAAGTTTACCATGACAATCGAATCCGTCTCCTTCGTAGCCAGGGAAACACGAACAATAGAAACTGCCTATTGTGTTAGTACAATGTGCAAAGACGTCACACGGTCTGTACTTGCATTCGTTTTCATCTTGAAACGATAAAAATTACAAAAATATTATTGATATTAATATTTTCATATAATTCACTACAAATTATCTATATCACATTAACAAATATATATATATCTTTGGCTAAAAAGAACAATATTTATTGATAATTTATAACCCCGAACGCTTTTAAAAGGTCCACATTTCAAAAGCGCTCAGGTTATAGGGTTTTATATTAAGACTTCTTGAACCAACGTGTTTTTCTGACATCATGAATTTATTGATAATTAATATTATCTACTGATCACAGCAAGCTACCAACATAGATCGAAACTAAATAAATATATATATACGCACATAGCTAATTAATATAAAGTTCAAATTATATTACTTATAATGATTTAAGTGCATTGTTTCATCAGTTTCGCGGTTAATCTGTCAGAATGATAACCAAACAAACAAATAATATATAATGTTTTACAAATGGATAAGCACATACACGCATAAGTACGCAGACCGCCGAAAACTTAAAAAAATGAAAAAAGTAAAATGTAACAAAAGCACAATAGTTGAATAAAACAACTAATAAATATCTAAAGAGAACAATCTGAATGATTTAATTTTGACTTTCACCGCCAGATGACTTTCCATAGTATCTTAGTAAATGTTCAACCAGTATCAAATATATTTTGATGACAAAATATAAAGCACTCTCAACCCTATATGTTTTATTGTAGAAAATCACGAACGTTATAAAAACTTCAAGCGATAATATAAACATTAGCTATTATCAGCTAAGCCTTAAAAGCCTGCTTTTTTTCCCACTGTATCAATCATTAAGGTACACAAGTTTTAATAACAACAATAACAAGTAATGTGAGCTCTAGCTATAATCAGCCTAAAAAAGCCTACCTGGCATTTTATGACCTTTACCAAATTTATTATTACAGTAACACAATTTTTAACGATAACGTTAAAAAACAGGCCTAACGTAAGCTCTAGCTACAAACACTTAAGCCTAAAACGCCTAGGTATTTCACGGCCTTTACAATCGTAGCTATCATTACAGTATCACAAAGTTTAACGATAACGTTAACAGATGTGCCTAACGTAAGCTTTAGCTATAATCGGAAAACCTATCCGGTATTTCGCGGCCTTTACAATCCTATCCATCATTACAATAACACAAGTTTTAATGATAACGTTAATAAATGGGCCTAACGTAAGCTCTAGCTACAATCAGTAAAAGCCTAAAACGCCTATCTGGCATTTCGCGGTTTACAATCCTATCCATCATTACAATAACACAAGGTTTAATGATAACGTTAATAAATGGGCCTAACGTAAGCTCTAGCTACAATCAGTAAAAGCCTAAAACGCCTATCTGGCATTTCGCGGTTTACAATCCTATCCATCATTACAGTAACACAAGTTTTAACGATAACGTTAACAAGAAGGCCTAACGTAAGCTCTAGCTACAATCAGTTAATCCTAAAACGCCTACCTGGCATTTCGCAGCCTTTACCACCATATCCATCATTGCAGTAACATAAATTTTCTAAACAGGCTCCATTGATGCAGCGTGGCATCTTCGGGTGACAAAAATCTGTATTGTTAAATAAATGAATCGAATTAATGTACTTTTCACATTAAAACAATAACTCATTGTATTTAGTAGATTAACATCATTATCCTTCAACTAGAAATGTCAGGTATTTATTACAGGAAAACGGTAACTCAACAGTGACGAACTTATTATATTTATTACATTAAAACGCTAATGCTATATTTATAAACTTGTGGTATTTATTACACAAAAAATACAATTCTACAAGAAGTTATTGTACTTATTATCCCTTAAATATAACCATATAAGTAATGTATGATGTTTATTAAACCAAAATGAGTAATTTCTGGTGTTTATTGCACCAAAATGACATATCTACATAAGTAATTAGTGGTATTTATTGTACAAAAACGACAATCCTGTAAGAGTATTTTGCGGTATTTGTTACACAAAAACGATAAGCCTCTATGACTAATATATCGTTTTTACTATACAAAAGCGACAACCCTATATGAGTAATTTATGGTATTTACTCCACAAAAATTGATAACCCTGTATGAGTAATTCATCGTACTTACAACACAAAAACGATAACCCTTTTTTTGAGTAATTTATCGTATTTGCTACACAAAAGCTATAACCTATATGAGCAGTCTGTAATATTTATTGCATTAAGAAAAAAAATATGTCTCCTGAATGAACACAAGCTAGTCACACTAACACAAGAACAAGTCAGTTTTATACATAAATAACTACACATTTAATCAATGTAAAAGAAAAACATATATTTCATTAATTGTAATACTCCTTTATTTAGACCAAATTGATAGTAACAGAACCAATTATCTAAAGCATAGAAATATATAACACAGGTAGGCCTAAACTTTAGCTTATCTGTTATTAGCTAAGCCTTAAAAGTCGCCCCCCCCCCCACACTGTATCCATCATTATAGTAATACAAGTTTTAATGACAATAACAAGTTAAGCCTAAAAAGCGTTCAACAGTCTAGCCACTTGGTTAACTCTGATTACACTGTGAAACGTGAGCTTATTAAAACCGACAGTTTCTGTGACAATTGAATATATATATATAACATACAAAAATAATGGAAAAACAACAACAAAAACCATTACACCAATTTTCCAAAGCTCAGTTATTATTTTATTCACTAGATGGCGCAACCAATGAGCGTAAAATAACTGTTTTTTTTTTTTTGATTTGTAAGTTTACTTAATTTTTTATGAATGCACGGTATTAAAAAAAAATATTTAATTGTATCATAAATACAAAAATAATTTATAAGAACTCTACATAATATACACAAAAATATGTTAAGGAAAAGGTGTCCTATTAGTAAATGGGGTAAAATTAACTGAATCCAAAAATTATTAACTAAAGAAATCCACACTTAACCTACTTTGGTTTAAAATATAAATAGAGTAATAAAATTTAGCTCGCTTTACTATAAAAATATTCTTTATATATTTTATATCTGTTCAGGCTAAAAACGTCGCATGGTAATCACCCACCAATTTAACGCAAACTGGTTCAATACCTTCCAAAAAAAAAAAGGCGTGAAATTCACTCAAAGTTCAAATGATACTTACTTCTATTTGTACATTTAAGTTTGTATTCTGTCTCGTCGGAGCCATAAAAACAATTAGGAACACCATCACAGAGCTTTGACAGTTCGAACAGTTGGAGTATATCAGTGGATTCGTTGAGTTGACAGCCAAAGAAGCCGTCTTCCAGATGTAAAATAAAAACTTCATTAGAAGTATAAGAATTTGGGTAGAGAGGACTATATTGGGCGTTGACCTGTGATGGACAAAATAAAGGTAATATACATGAATTCGTAAATCTGATTAATAAGCCGTTTGTCATATAAATACGCACATACATATATATATATATATACATAAACAAATACACACGATTTAATACATGTATACACATGAATTATAGATACATACATTGATTTTCGCTAAAAAGCCCTAACTGTATCAAATTCATCACGATCACTGCTTGGTTATGTGATATCAAGTCGTATCACACACAATTTAACCCTCATCTTTATCTGACTTCACCAGAACTTCAGTCGAGATTGAAACTTAAACTTTTTAAAACAAGTTTTAGTACAAACGAGTGAACGCCACGGGTCAGATGTGCGGACTTTTAACAAAGTGGCCTCAAAACCCAAATTTTTGATGTAAAAACTCGACAGCTAAAAGAAATCTTGGTAGACCCCCTTCTAGAGCCAAGTATTGCGTAATTTATACATTTGAAACGACGTCGCGAAAGTGAAACAAAACCGCTCGCGAAAATCACAGGATGTTAAAGTTTATTATAGAATAACACCCAACCGAGTCACAAAGTGTTGAACTTCATATATAATAACAACAAGACAGTAGATTAACTAATAAGATGTTAGCTTTGGTTCGGTGATTAAAATCATATGATGTATCTTATTTTATTTAACGATAATACGAGATCGAATAATGTGTTAATTTTATATTCCACGATAACACTGAATTAGATAATGATGGATAAATATAGTGAGAATTTCAAGATTGATATTGCGTTAACTGTACTGTTCTTAAAGTCCTTTTTGGACCAGTACAGCGAGATCGTAACCTCAGCTTCGAATATTAATATTGTACGAAACAACAGCCAGTGGCTCTTGACCTATCCAACTGTAGAATCACAGGATCACTAATTAAAGTCTTCTTAATGACAATCGTTGAACAGTTGCTACTTCATTAGAAAGGAGTTGGATAAAAGAAAGATATGGGCTAGAAGATAGCTGACAGAATATTAGACACACAATACACGAAACTGCCTTTGATCCACGACACTGCCTTGGATCCACGACACTGCCTTGGGTCCACGACACTGCCTTGGGTCCACGACACTGCCTTGGATCCACGACACTGCCTTGAATCCACGACACTGCCTTGGATCCATGACACTGCCTTGAATCCACGACACTGCCTTGGATCCACGAAACTGCCTTGGATCCACGACAATGCCTTGCCGTGAAGTAGGCTCTCCCTTTTTTAAGATGTCTCTCGAAATGCGTGCAATAACAAAAGTAGCCAATGATTTAAAGTCATATCGTGAAAATTCGTGACTTCACACTTTAGCGTGAATTAAAAGTGTCGGTCAAGCGACAACTGTTGCTTTCAAGTAAAACGATATATAATCATGTTATTATTTGTTCGTATTTTCCTTTTAGCCCCCTAGTGGCACAGTGGTATGTCTGCAGACCTACAATGCTAGAAACCGGGTTTCGATAATTTATTGTGTAGCTTTGTGCTTAACTACAAAAAAATTCCTTAATATATTTTCCAACATACAAATACATATGCTAGTAGTAATGGCTCTTTCTTATTATTTATAGAAAGATTATAATAAATCCAAGTAATTTTTTATTTCCACAAGATGTCGTATCTCGCTACCAGTGAGACAATCGAATAAGCACTGATAAGATTTTTAGTTTATATAAAATATCCAATAATTTTATTTAAGGATTTGATATTATAACCTATTTCGGTTGAAGTGACGAAAGCGAATGCGATACTAACAAGAACTTTAAAACAAAATACCCGCATACACACCTCTGCAACAGATATGATTGGCTATTCCAATAACATGTTAAACGAGAGATGTGAGTTTGTAATTCAGTAACCTCTTTCCAATAGCTGTGATTACTAGCCAATGATATAATCCGTTTACACTGAACAACAGAGGTGATTGGTCAATTGTTAAATTTTTAAACAGTATGATATGAATTTCAAAAGTTACTCAGTCAGATGTAACTAAAGTAGGCACGCGTGGTCAAGCGTTTAAAGAAGTAGCTCTACCGGTCAGAGTAGGCATGACATGGGTGGTTACAGTCTAAGAGTAGCTTAGCATTGTTTCTTCATATAAATGATACCAATTTTTGTCCTTAGAGCTTCTAAGTTAAAGAATTTTTTTTTCATGGTTCTTTTCCTATTTTTTTTCTTAAAAAAAAAACTATTCGTGACGTGATCTGTAACTTCTTTTTTGTCCTGCTTTGGATGTGGCAGATTATTGTCAACCCTGTGTCTTCTGTTCGGTTGAAAGAATCTACAGATGGCTTTTTCTTATGTTTAGGGAAGAGAATGTTGTTGCCTCACACGCGCGTGAAATTCATTACATGGCACATAGCTCCTAACATATTAAAAACCATCTCTGTCTTAACACAGGTCTCAAAGAAAACCTCACGGCATGCACTCGTAGTTCATCTAATAAACTCTAAACCCAAACTGTTTAGTTTTCTTAGCAGACTATTAGAGCTGCATAAAAGTGACCCACTTTTTCACCAGTAATTTTCCCCTTGTAACATTTTGATATCCTCACTGTACTGTATACATCACATTTTGATATCCTGACTGTACTGTATACATCACATTTTGATATCCTCACTGTATTGTACACATCACATTTTGATATCCTCACTGTACTGTATACATCACATTTTGATATCCTCACTGTATTGTATACATCACATTTTGATATCCTGACTGTACTGTATACATCACATTTTGATATTCTCACTGTACTGTATACATCACATTTTGATATCCTCACTGTACTGTGTACATCACATTTTGATATTCTCACTGTACTGTATACATCACATTTTGATATCCTCACTGTACTGTATACATCACATTTTGATATCCTCACTGTACTGTATACAGCACATTTTG